TTCCCTATTTTCCCACGTGGGAAAGGCTAATTCTTTAAGCCCAACCAATTCAATTACCTGGGGCCTGAACCCACTAGCAAGGTATTCTACCACGCGGTTCAGGATTTCTATCACGTGTGGCATCGAGTGACTGAGTACGGCCTTCGAATAGATCAGATACCGACGGCCTGGTAGTTTCCAAGCGGGGACTGTAAAGATGCCCACCTCCCGTCCAATGAGATGCGTCGAATAAAAAAAAAAAACGAAGTTGGACTAACTTGGACATGATAGCTCGTGGCTTTGCGTGGGCAGGAAGTCAGGATTTTATGGGCTTTAAAGGGGGCGGTTTGATTTCCAGACTTCGTTTTTTTTTTTTTTGGCTCTGAGAAATAGAACTTGAAATGTGAAATTCGAATATTTTGGTGCATCTGACAGGAACGCTTCCACGTCTGTCGGATGGCCTGCTAAAGGCATCATGAGATACATGGGGATGAATGTATCCTTATAGCCATTACTTGTTCATCCTCGTGATGGACACATTTTATTGCCACGGTACATCACTATGAAGACTTACGTGAAGGAGATCGTACCAACCCATGAATTCGGGTGCACAGCTGTTCTTCATAGTTTTATGTGCTATTTCAATTCATTTTAAATCAGAAAATGATCCATTCATGCAAATAAAAAATCACTTTGTATTTTCCAAAAAACCATAAAACTGTGTCACACGTCGTAGAATACTTCGCTAGTGGGTCCAGGCCCCTGTCAAATCTGGACAGGACGGCCTTTCAGGCCTTTTTTTTATTGTCATTGTAGTATTACAGGGAACCCCGTAGCACCAGACCCGGTTTCCAGCAGGTGCAGCTCCCCACCAATGGAACGGAGCCGCTCCCCAGGTGTTAGTGGTGTCTGCTCTTGAAAACGGGGAACCCCGTAGCAGCCACATCCGTGCTCAAGCCTCCAACGAGGGAACACGCGGGAGCTGCACCCACCAGCAGGTGCGATACCTCCTGCTACAGCAGGTGGGCGATACCGGCCAGGGGTCAGCCAGTAGCATCAGGCCCGAGGTTCTTCGATGGGCCAGTCACTGTGCCTCCCCTCAGGTGGTGGTCCCCTCCCCCTATGAACATCAGCAATCTCTGCTCAATGCCACTCGGGGGGACCAATGGCATATCTCTAGGTGGCGGGGGCCAAGCTCGCCCAGCAAGGTGCACGAGGGCCAATGTGGATTGAAGAATCCGATGTGACCCTGAGGCAAAAGTTGTTCAGTTTATTTTTCTGCAAAACATAGTTTTTTTTTCGGGTTTTTTTTTTTTTTTTTTTTTTTTTTTTTTTTTTTTTGTGGGCTGGGACCTTCGTTGGTCCTTGGACGGCCAGGCCGCCCGGGAAAATAGGGTGACCTGGGCTGCCCGGCTGGTAGCCTAGGAATCTATATACAATCAGTTTCAGATATAATTATGAAATGGTGAAACGGATCCGTTTCATTGATCGATCAAGCCTAAATGAAACTATCAATGGTCGATGAAGCTCTAAGGGCATACTCACACAGCGGTGGCATAGCAGCAAAATCTGCGAATGTTGCTATGATCCTGATTTTGCTGAAATGTCACCCCGCCCGGTCACACAGCGGCAGCAAATCGCAAGAGACAAGAGCCTGACATTCTGGCAATTGCCAAAATGGTGCCGCGCATGGTCACACAGCTCCAGGCCCAAATCCTTCAACCCTTTCATCAACAAAGTTCGTTTAGAATTTCCTTTCAGGAACTCTCGAACTGGGAAAAGAAATTTGCTACCACCTCCAGAGGTGGTAGCAAAATGCCCTTCCCGGCGGCCCACCAGGCCGCTGACATTTGATACCCCGTTTGCTGCTTTGGCCACTTTCCCTGCCTCGTGCGACTGGCCCAACCACCAAATTTTAGCTATTTTGCCATAGAAGGCCCTGGTGTGAGTAGGCCCTAAATGAAGCAGATCAATCAAGCAGTTTCACTGTTTCAGTGGGGAGCTTTTCGATGAAGCCTAGGAATTTAGGCGGACGGCTGCGGACCACTGAAACTGAAATGCTGAAACGGCTGATTGTAATGAAGCAGATGAATCAAGCCTAGGATATTATGAAATGGTCGATGAAGCTCGAAATGAAGCAGATCAATCAAGCAGATTCTGATTCAATGAAGCAGATAGACCAAGAAGTTGATGAAGAAGTGATTTAGGCGGCGGGTTCACAGACAAGATCGTCAACAAGTAGGTGGGGGACGATGAGAAAGGGAGGCGCAGCGACTGGCAGGTCTCGGTTTTTGTGTTAGCCAGACCCCCACTGGCGGCCCCAACCCTATAGTACCCTAACCATTAGGGGCAAGGGGCAACATGAAATCTCCCCTTCATAGATGGGGGTAGGAGTACCTATCTTCTCCTCTTCGGATTGTGTGGATTTTAGGCCTTGTTGGTTATTTTGTTTGCAAATGGGTTGGTCCTTTCGTCAGGGCAGCGGTCTTGCTTTGGCCACTTCTGCCTCTGGACATTCGGGTCCAACACCAGAACCTAAACTGGGTAATGGTCCCAGAATTTTTTTCCGGGTTGTTTGTGGAGGGATTCCCGGCCTCCCCCTTTTGCTGTAATAAAAAATTGGTTTTTTTTTCTAAAAAAAATAAAATAAAAAAATCTCCCCTTCACAGTGAGAGGAAACTATGCTTGCAGGGGTCCCCTCTAGATAGCCTTAGGAGTATCCGAGTAGGTAGTGAAAGGTAAAAAAACAGAAGTTGAGAGAAGAACATAGAAAAAAAAAAGAAAAAAAAAAAGCAGCAGTAATCCTTTGAAGAAGCCAATGTGCCAATCTTTCTCTATTAGCTTTTTTTTTTTTTTTTTTTTAACCTGTTTCTTTTTTATTAAACCGGAACATGGGTCCGGCGGCCCTCACATAGACACTGCAGCCACCTGAGGCTGAGAAAGGCACTTCCGGCCAACTCATCCCCAACTACAGTCGACCAGCTACCGAGAGCCCTCA